GCAGCGCGATCATCCACTTCCACTACCACTTCCGTTCGGCCGTCAAGTTCCCCGATTACTTCGCTGCAAACGGGTTCAAGCACCCCATAGACGCGCGCGACAGTCCCTTCTGCTTCGCCTATGGCTGCAAAGGCGAGACTTACTTTGACTTCATGAACAAGCCGGAGAACGTGAAGATGTTCGACGCATTCAACGAAACGATGACGTTGGTGAAGCCAGGTGAGCACAACAAGTTTGTGCAATCGTACCCGGTCAAGGAGCGCCTCGTCATTACCGAACCCTCGCGCCCTCTGTTCGTCGATGTTGGCGGCGGCGTAGGCCATCAAGTAGTAAAGTTTTGCGAGCGTGCAGAAGGGCTGCCAGGTGTGCGTATGCTGTTGGATCTTCCGAGCGTTATCGCGCAGGCTAAAGGTCTGCCCGATGGCGTTGTGACGGTCGGACACAGCTTCTTCGATCCCTTCCCACCGGTTGTCAAGGGCGCTAAGGCCTTTTACTTGCGCATGCTCCTGCACGACTGGCCAGAGATGCAGGCTCTTACCATCCTGACGAACATCGTCAACTCGATGGCTGAGGATAGTGTGGTGCTAATTCACGAGGTCATTCTACCGGAGACGGAGACGGAGGTCGTGCATTTCGATGCCAAAATGGACTGGCAGATGATGAACCTGGGTTCTTCGGAACGCACTGAAGCGCAGTGGAAGGACTTGTTTGGGAAGGCAGGGTTGGAGATAAGAGGGTTGTGGTGGGAAGAGGAGGGTACGAAGGGAAAGAAGGCCTTGATGGAACTGGGATTGAAGAAATGAGAAAGTATGCTCTTATCGAACGAAACCGTTGAATTGATACTCAAGACGCAGGCAAATTGCCCTTCCCTTCGTGATTGATCACTGAGCATGCACTACGTTCTTCAAAGTAGTGACGCGTCATAGTTACGATGATGCGCACACCCAGGCCATTTCAGTCGGAGGACTGCGCCTGACCTCGGGGATGGTCCAAGCTCAACCCACTTCAACTCCCAAGGTTCCTGCTGTCCGGACAAGCGCCTCACACAGCCTGATCGCCCTGCCACATCTTTCGGGGTTGAAATGGCTGCACCAATGACACTTGCAGTCTTGAACTCACCTCAGCTTGCTGCACTCTCGCATTCATGCACCGCCACGCGGCCGTCGCTCGAAGATATGACCCGTAGATGTCGCTCTCCCTGCGACCTCATCATTCCAGACCTCGGGATCATCAATATCATGTCCTATATTTAGCACAGTCGAAAACATTTTACTCGTAGTATTGCGTATATTCAGGTTGAGGAGTCTTGGAGTCTGCATATGCGAGGTTGACGCGACGATCCAGCCAACAAAGGACAACGCGTATGCAGTAGTCTACCTAGTACTGTAGTAACCAGAAGGCACCCCACCACTGTATACTGACATAGTACAGCGAGAACAGTCATTGTTTACTTTGAGCAAACACATTAGCAACGCTGGCGAGCATGAGCGATCCCTATATCGACGCGCCGTTATGTCGGCATGAAGGAAGCCAGGAATTTAGGCTCGTCGAACTGAAACCCAGCGAGCTATCCAAATCCATCAAGTGTACCCTCCGCACTTACGCATTCACGTCGCGTTCGCCACCATACACCGCGTTATCTTACACGTGGGGCACGAAAGCAAAACCCAAGGAGATCGAGCTCAATGGGATTCCTTTCCCTGTTGGCGAAAGCCTCTGGTCGTTTCTAGAACAGATGCGTCGCCAGCGACAATTTCGCGTCTACTGGATCGATGCTGTTTGCATCGACCAGGACAGCATGTTAGAGCGGAATCACCAAGTCCGAATGATGCGTCAGATCTACAGCAACGCCGCATGCGTCTCAATATGGCTGGGTGAAGCTGACGAAGACTCCTCGAGCGACATAGCTATGGATTTCCATCACGACATGTCCACTAGTCATGCACCTGAAGCGAATGAAGAACAGGCAGAAGCAATCTTCAAGCTTTACACGAGAGATTACTGGTCTAGGATCTGGGTTGTGCAAGAAATCTTCCTCGCCAGGGATATCACGGTGTATTGGGGATCAAAAAATGTCAACTGGCAAAGGCTAAAATATTTCAATCAAGTTCTGGTGCAAGGGTTCCGCGAACAGAGATACTTGGAGACGCTTACCCTTCTTCGGACTAAAGCGACAAAACTGATCATCGAGCGGGATGCTTACCGTTTGGGTGCAAAGTACACGTCGCTTACCGAGCTTTTAGTATCTTTCGATAACTACAAGGCAACGAATACTCTTGATGTCGTATATGGTGTTTGCGGACTCGCGGAGACACCACTCGGCTTCACCATCGATTACAACATCTCTCCTAAGGATCTACTCGTCAAATTGATCCATTGTACTTGTGCTGCCATGCGACATCAGGACGTTCGTGTGTTGAGAGACTTTGCTAGAGTAATGTCAACAGCTCTAAAGGTCGATTGGTCCCAAGAGGAGATGATGGCACACATTGCTTCAGCAGAAGAAAGCCGGGATTGGACAGAGGACGGAACGGATCTTACTTTCCTACCTTCTTGGCTTCCTCCCCCGCGCATTGGACGTGGAGGTTACAACTAGCTGCTCTTTTCGACCGCGCGAACACACCTTCATTCAGAGTTTATACAAGTTGCATATTTCTACTTTCGGTAAATATTTTGGAAAATGGGTATTTCGAGTTTCGACTGCTTACATGACATACCCATATCAGGTGAGGAAAGGCGTGTGATCATCTATATTGAGCACAAAGGCAACCTCTTTCAGCAAAGAGAGACTCGCAAACGACGAAGCAATCAACTCGATTCGATTCAAAATTTCGCGAGTCACTTCAGATTATTGAAACTGTGGCAGCTACGTCATATCAGGGCGTCGCAACCCTCTCCACCCCAGCAAACCTCCCCGTCCTATGCACCAACCTCCCCTTCACCCACACAGCCACAGTATTCCGATCATCCCCACTATACACCCACTTCTCCACCAAATCCGACCAGCTCTCCCAGCCAAACACATCAACCGGTCCTTCTTCAAACGCCCCATCCTGACAACCATCCTCACCAACAACCCCCAAACTGATCATCTGCGCATCCCACTCCATGCCAACCTCAAACCCACCCACCTTATCCTGCATCCCCACCACCGCCGCACCTCCCCTCGTAGCAAGAAATAACGCCTCCTCCGTTGAAAGCTTCGCTTTTTCTTTCGAAGTCTGAATACACAGATGCCGCGACACCCATATCGCCTGCCGCACGTTTTCCAGTACCGACGGCGAGTTCCCACCCGAGACATCCGTGCCCAGACCGATCGTGTGTCCTTCATCGAGTAAATCGCGGATTGGCGCACATCCGGATGTAATCGCCGTGTTTGACGCCGGACAATGCGATATTTTGCTCTTGCGCTGCAGAACTAATTTGCGCTCTTCAGGGGTGAGATGGACGGCGTGGGCTAGGATGGTTTTGTCTGTTAAGAGGCCGTGGGTGTCGTACACATCTGCGTAACTCTTGCTATCAGGGAATAATTCCTTGACGAGTTCAATTTCGCCCTTGTTCTCCGAGATGTGCGTCTGAACATGCGTATCCGTTTCCTTCGCCAATCTCCCCATAGCAGTCAGACAATCCGGGGTACAGCTCGGCGCAAATCGGGGTGTGATGATAGGTTTCACGATCTCGCCTTTGGGGTCGATGGAGCGGATGTAGTCGATACTGGCTTTTGAATCCGCGTAGCTTGTTTCGGTGCTTGAGTCTCTGTAGTACTCCGGGCTTAAATCGCTGTTCATGCATACGCGGCCTACTAGGGCTCTTTGACCGCGCGCTAGACATATATCTGCGAGGGCGTTGGTGGCGGGGACGTGGATGGTGGCGTAGTAGGCGGCTGTTGTTGTGCCGTGGGATAGGGTTCGTGAGACGAAGTTTTGGTAGACGCGGTGGGCGAGGGGGAGTTTTGAGAAGGAGGATTCCATGGGGAATGTGTATTTTTGGAGCCAATCTAGTAATGTGGTTTTGCCGAAAAGACCTGTGTTGGGGTGTTGGGGGGCGTGGACGTGTGTGTCTATGAAGCCGGGGAAGAAGAAGCCAGTGCCGGTTATCTCGACGATCTTCGCGTCTGTCCACGAGTCGCCTTTTTGTTGGACGAGATTGGGGAGGTCGCCTTCTTGGATGTCTTTCTCGACATGACGGATTATGCCGTCAGAGTCTACGAAGATGGCGCCGCGTTCCTGGATCTCGAGTGTTGAGAGCGATTCGCTGTGCACGAAGGGGCCGACGTAAACCGTATTCGATATGGGCGATGAGGCTGCCATGATGATGTACGTCTGCTCTTTCTGTCAAAATTCCCCCCTTTATAGTTGAAGTTGAAGTTTCGCGTTTGTATTTCGTGGATGTGAAGTCGTGTTCTAGCCGCGGCAATAGATCGGAGCAGGTACCGAGACGCAGCCTCTAGTGTAGAACTTCGCGAACAGGGCGGTTGTCGAAGTGAACTTATGCTTCACACAACCCGTGAATGTGAGAGAGTTGGCAAAACGAACAAAAAGACAATCAAGACAAGAGCAATATAAATCGAGTGGCACTGGCGACCTTTATCAGTTGCCCAACGTAAGAACGGCTAGATCCGGTTAGCCACTCGCTAATGCCTAGCACGTGGGGAGCGGAGCGGAGCCCCCAGGGCTATCGGCGTACTCCGATGCCAGACTACCAGAAGAAACGAAATGGGTGTTTCACTCCCACAAAGTTGACGAGTGAAAAAGGAAAGAAAGGGACGGATAGGTGGTCATGAAAATAGGATTTGGAGGTTGCATCTCGCAATGCGCCGCTAGCCTATCGCTACAATCGCCTATTTCGTTTCATCAAACTTGACCCCAGGCTTTCCTTTTTGGCAACGCCGGGATATCCATAAACCGTGCCTAAACTCCACAAAATGGCTGCGTTGCAAAAGTAACACAAGGCCTTGCTTATCAAAGCCGACTTCGTAATCCAAGTACCAAAGTCTCGGATCATAGGCTGTAATCGTGGATACCCTGTGGGCCCTGGTCGTTGTAATCGGGACGGGTCATGTAACCCTTACTTTGACCCTGATCGACAACGAAGATGACCTTGGCTGCGACCTGAGCGCCCAAGAAGGCTGACTCGTCAAAACCAACGTCCTTGAACTCGGGGAAGTACTCCGGCGGCTTGATGAACTTGATTGATGTGGGTGTTTGGCCGTGCGATGAGTGGGTGTTACCTCCCATGCCAGGCATGCCTCCGTGTGGCATCATATGTTGTGTCTGAGCAGTTGTCGCTGCAAGGAGGAGCGGGTTGACTTGGGAGCCGCCGTGCGGGCCAAGTTGGGGCTGTGGTGTGTTCGCGCCGGTTCCCATGGGCGTTGACACGTTGGACGGGATCTCGGATGTGAAGATTGTGGCGGAGGAGGGCGAGACCAGATACTTAGTCTGAATGGTTTGGAGGAGCGATTCTTTGAAGCCTGTATAGATGTCAGTAGATGCGCGATGATTGCTGATACATGGAACATGACTTGCCTCGCAGTTTTGAACCGTTACCGCAGACGATGAGCTGTTCCCATAGATCACTTCGTTTGCCAACCTCGTCGATGGACGATATAGCTCTGTGCACAGCATCTGCAATCTTCTCCAGCGTACCATCGCCATCTGCCATGAATCGCTCGGTGCCAACCTCGATCTCACGTCTTATCGATCCTGTGCGTTTGCCGGTCGCACCAGATTCGCTGGTGCCGTTCGCTTCGGTTGCGGATGTAGGCTCGCCGTTCTCTCCACTCTCTTGTCCCTTCCTGTTTGGCCCTTCGTCCAGAGCGCCCTTCGCATCCGCCATCTCCTGTGTATTGAGGTTCATGTTCTTCAAAGTGTCCAGAAGCGCGTGGTCCTCGTAGAGGAATGTAGCCTTCTCCAGTCGGGAGTTGGGTAACCTGACTGGCTTGTTGGCTGCCGGAGCAGGACCACCCTTCTTCTTCGCATTGGCCTTTTCCTGCTTCTCCTTCTCCTTCTTGGCAAGGTACTCAGACATCTTTCCGCCAGCGACGATGCTTGCGACATCCAAAACACCTTCGCTCTCCTCAAGACTCGCGTCCTCGCCAACTTCGGTATCGATACCAGGCCCTCGTGGCACGTTTCCGATGGATGCGGCTGCTGCTGCGCCAGGACCGGTTGCGCCCGTTGATGCGAGCGCTGCAGGGTTGGTCGCTGCGTCTTTGGTAGCCGCATCTCCTGGCCCTGGTAGCGGAACTCCTGGGGGCAAAAGTTCGCAGATGGGTGATCTCTTCAGTTGTTCACACATGTCGCGGTTGAGACCCTTGGACTTGAGCTTAGACAAGAGCCCTTGGGTAAAGGCCTCGCCTCCACATCCTTCCAGTGAGATGACGCGACCCTGAGTGTGCGGAATAAACTCGCTAACAGCGGTAATGTCGGCCTTGTCTTTGCCCACGTCTATCACTGTCGCTGTGTGTACACCGTATGCCCATGTTGTTGCCAATGCCGCGTCCATGAGCCCAAAAGCAGGCACCTTGAACTTCTCGAAGAAGAACTGGGTGAGCTTCTCGTGCTCTCGCGGGGTCCATGCTGGTTGGGTAATGAGGAGGATCGGAGTGTGGAAGGGCGGGTTCAGAGAGTTGTAGGTGTGGGTGATGAGGGCAAAGAAGCATGGCCAGTCAACGATGCGGCCTTGTTGAATGGGCCATATCGCGCCTTCTTCCGAAACGCGGTCTTCTTCCCACACTACATCATCGTCGCCCTCGGTGGGCTTCTTTTCTTCCTGCGATTCGTCTGTGGGGTCGCCATTCGTCGCGGTCGGCTGATCTTGCTTTCTCCGGATCTTGTAGGGCTCGAATTCACCTTCCTTCTCTGCGGGGAACATGCGCGATCTCACGCGAAGACGCGCGGGCGTGAAAGACTCGGGGAGCCCCAGCTGCGCGACTGTCGTCTCCGAGCCCGGCGCAATGATCTAAGGCGGTTAGCGCATATTCCGAGCGTCGAGTGCACGTGAGACTCACGATTATCTGGTCATCTTTGAAGGGCGGCATGGTGGCGCAATGGGTGATGTTTACAAGCTCCGGCGCGCAGTGAGAGCTCCAGGCCGCGGTGGAGTTTCGCGACTTCCGCGCTAATCGATGCACGGGCCCGGCCTTTCACAAGCTGGCAGTGGCACCCCACATGCAAGCGCCCCCAGTACATACCCGCGGATTTCAACGTGCCCGCTGCACGGCACATCATGGGATTCCTGTCTTTACCGCCCTAGATTAGCAACTCTAGAAACGTCTGGAAATATTGACGCGTGACGGTCCGAATTCGGCACCGATCTTTCCTCGCCCACCATGGCCACCATGGCAGTCCCAGGAACTGCCACTTCTCGGTCACTGGCAGAGGCTTCCAAAGCAGCAGTGTATAACACAGCAGAGGCCCTCTCCAACTCTGTACTCGGCATGAAGCCTGCTGATACCACGCCGTCGACCAGCTTTGGTCTATTGGGCCGTGTCATTCTGTCCATCTTCAGTGTCCTGCCCACCGTCTTGTACTGGATTACCTATACCCTGCCGACATGGCTGTTCACGCTCTTCTCCATGAGCTTGACCTTCACGATGAACTTCACAACTCTGTACGTTGCCAACCCTCTCCGCCGATCTTAGCTAAGCATTTGTAGGATGCTCGTCGTCGTCTTCGTCGTGTCTACCGTCAGTTACTTCGTGAGGTACCGATACATGACTATGTACGCACGACTACCGCCTGAACCGCAGCGTGAAGAACCACAGGTCGAAGTCTTTCCAGATAGCGCCGAAAATGACTCAAAGCGCGGCTTGTCCAACTACTTGGATGAATTCTTGAGCGCAATCAAAGTGTTCGGTTACTTGGAGCGCCCAGTCTTCCATGAACTAACACGCACTATGCAGACCCGTCGATTGGTGGCTGGCGAGACAATTCTCTTGGAAGAAGAGAAAGGCTTTTGTCTGGTAGTAGATGGCTTGGTCCAGATCTTTGTCAAGTCGAACCGAAATGATTCAGACTCCGATGAGGATGATATGGGAGGGGAGTCATCTGGCGACGGTGCGAACCAAGGCCACCGGCAGGGCTATCAGCTTCTTACTGAAGTCAAGAACGGAGCCCCAATGTCTTCGTTGTTCTCCATTCTCTCTCTGTTCACAGAAGATGTGAAGCTGCGTCATGACGAAGATGAGGACACGCGTCCAAGTTTTCCAGGATCGCCCCAGCAGGACGTACGGCCAACTATGTCAAGGAACAGTAGCTTTGCATTCGACGATTCGAGACCGCACACACCAAACCAGGTCCCCGAGGCCAAGTTCGGGCATCGAAGAACATCGACTCTGAACAGTCCAACAGCAGGCGGGCGCCTTCAAGCCGTGCCGCCTCTGTCGCTGGATTTAGACGGACTTGGTGATGAGCGACTCAAGCACAGCAAGACTCGAGGATCACCTTCGCGCCCTGCGAAGCCTAAATCTGCCCATCCAGACATTGTCGCACGCGCGACCGTAGACACAACCATCGCTATAATCCCAGCCACTGCATTTCGTCGACTGACGCGCATATACCCCAAAGCAACGGCGCACATTGTTCAGGTCATCCTTACGCGCCTTCAAAGAGTTACGCTCGCAACCAGCCATGCTTATCTCAGTTTGACGAATGAGGTCCTCCGTACGGAGAAGCTCATGAATAAGTATACTACATACGATCTTCCTGGCTTTCTACGTGATGCTCCGCTCGAGCGACTGAAGGAGAAGTTTGCAAAGGAGACGGAGCGCATTGGCTCAGACGAGGGCATGAAGGGCATCGCGTTGCACAACCCCGGCGCCGGCCGACGACGAAGGTCCAGCGTATCCCTTAGGAGAGGAACCGCTGCGCAAGCCCGCCTTGCTGCCGCTCGTGGGGCCAACGCAAACGCAAACAACGAAGCATTACCCAAAATCACTTCCCCAGATCAAGGACCACGCAACGACCGAATCAGCGCAGGTGACCTGTTGACCAATTCGCAAATGGCACGCGGAACTGGTCGCAGCGGCCGCAGCAGCTTCTCTCAACCGTATCAACATCAACAGGAACGTCGAGACAACCGAACGCCGTTGGACGCAAGCAACTTTAACCCTTTCGCGTCTCCCTCACTACGACCGAAAACATTGCACCGACAAGAATCAATTGATGAAGCTACTGTGTTCAGGGAGTCTATACTGGGATGTATGTTCAAGGCTATCGGACTCATCAACCCGGAGAACCCCATGCCTAAGCCAACCGCGTCAGTGGAGCAGTCACCTCAGCTTGTCTCTTTCGACGCCAGGAGACAGAAGGCTGTGTTCACGAATGCATTTGGCTTCATGGACCCATACGCGGGCTCCAAGGATGGAGACACGGAGTCTATAGCATCAGCCTCTGGCATGTCCAGCATGAGCGCTGCCGGTCCACACAACATCCTGGAAGAGATCGTCAATGATGTGGAAATCGTCTTCTTCCCCAAAGACTCTGTGCTGGTGGAACAGGGAGAGAGAAATCCTGGCCTGTACTACGTGATTGATGGGTTCTTGGACGTGAGCGTGCCTGTGGAGGAAGACGCACCTGAATCCAACGTACTAGGAACTCTTCCCAATGGGCCGGGCTATACTGAAGATGACCTCTTCGGTCCATCATCCCGCCCGCCTGGATCAAGCACCCCTTCGCGAGCTGCTGCCGATGGTACCAAGAAGAAGCGCACAAGAAGGAGTCTGTTCATGACCAAGCCTGGTGGACTAGCTGGCTATCTTGGAGCAGTATCATCGAACCGATCTTTCGTCGATGTCACAGCCAAGACCGATGTCTACGTTGGTTTCCTGCCTCGCTCAGCCATTGAGCGGATCGTCGAACGGTACCCGGTGGTATTGCTCACGATCGCGAAACGCCTTACAACACTCCTACCACGGCTGATCCAGCATATTGACTTCGCTCTGGAGTGGGTTCAAGTCAATGCAGGCCAAGTGATCTACAACCAAGGTGATGAGAGCGATGCTATTTACATCGTCTTGAACGGAAGATTGCGCGCCATCCGCGACGCCGAGAACAGCGCAGTAAAGGTCATTGGTGAATACGGTCAAGGTGACAGCGTCGGCGAACTCGAAGTCCTCACAGAATCATCACGACCGGGCTCATTGCATGCCATTCGAGATACCGAGCTTGCGAAGTTTCCGAAGACGCTATTTAACAGCCTGGCACTGGAACATCCTGGCATCACGATCAAGATCTCAAAGATCATCGCGTCCCGTATGCGAGCTTTGGTTGATGACCCACTTCATGAACAGAGTAAAGAGCGTGGGACGAAGGCCACTCGCGCGAATGTGTCTTCGACAGTCAATCTGCGCACTGTCGCTGTACTTCCGGTGACTGCCGGGATCCCGGTAGTGGACTTCGGAAGTCGGCTAGTGAATGCGCTCACCCAAATCGGCATGCCGCAAGGCGTGGTCTCTCTGAATCAGGCCGCCATTCTCAATCATCTCGGACGACATGCCTTCAGCCGCATGGGCAAACTTAAGCTTTCGCAATACCTCGCTGATTTGGAAGAAAGATATGGCATGGTCATCTATGTCGCTGACACGCCAGTCAAGTCGCCATGGACCCAGACGTGTATCAATCAGGCCGATTGCATCCTCCTTGTGGGTCTAGCTGAATCTTCCCCAAACATTGGCGAGTACGAGCGGTTCCTTTTGACGACGAAAACGACTGCACGTAAAGAGCTGGTGCTTTTGCATTCGGAGAGGTACTGCCCGTCGGGTCTGACTCGGAAGTGGCTGCGCAATCGCCCTTGGATCAACGGCAGCCATCATCATATCCAAATGTCATTCCGTGCTACCTCGGAGCCAGTTCATCATGCCGGACGACGCTTCGGGAATGCGCTCAAGCAGCGAGTTCAAGTTATACAGGCTGAGATCCAGAAGTACACGTCAAGAAAGGTTCGCCAGACACCGCTCTACTCAGCAGATACGCCATTCAAGGGTGACTTTCATCGCCTCGCACGACGTCTGTGTGGTCGTTCAGTCGGTCTCGTATTGGGCGGTGGTGGTGCTCGTGGTATTTCGCAAATCGGTATCATCCGCGCACTGGAAGAAGCTGGTATTCCAATCGACATCGTGGGTGGTACATCTATTGGTAGTTTCATAGGTGCATTGTATGCCTGGGATGCAGATGTCGTTCCCATGTATGGCCGCGCGAAGAAGTTTGCCGGTCGAATGGGCAGTATGTGGAGGTTCGCACTGGATCTCACTTACCCTTCGTAAGTTTTCTCTTCTCAACATAAAGTTCCACGCTGACTGTTAATAGTGCGTCCTACACCACCGGCCATGAGTTCAACCGCGGTATCTTCAAAACATTTGGAAACTCCCAGATGGAAGATTTCTGGCTCGAATTCTACTGCAACACCACCAACATCAGCAAGTCGCGTTCGGAGATCCACACGAGTGGATACGTCTGGCGCTATGTCCGCGCATCAATGTCACTGGCAGGATTACTTCCGCCCTTATGTGACAACGGCAGCATGCTCTTGGATGGTGGCTATATCGACAACCTGACTGTCACGCATATGAAGAGTCTCGGTGCAGACGTCATCTTCGCGGTCGATGTAGGCAGTCTCGATGATAACGCGCCGCAGTCTTTCGGTGACTCATTGAGTGGTTTCTGGGCAACGTTCAATCGGTGGAATCCATTCTCTAGCTTCCCCAACCCGCCGACGTTATCGGAGATCCAGTCGCGCCTCGCATATGTGTCTAGTATCGATGCGCTGGAGCGGGCGAAGAATACGCCGGGATGCAGGTACATGCGGCCGCCAATCGATCCGTATGGCACGCTTGACTTTGCGAAATTCGAAGAGATCTACGAGGTGGGGTACAAATACGGTAAGTGAAGACGCAATCTTTGACTTCGAAAATGTTTTGCTAATGTGGTGCACAGGCAAAGAGTACCTAGCGCAGCTCCGCGAGCAAGGAATCCTGCCCGTGACCGAAGAGACGGAGAAAGAAAAGAATCTCCGACGGACAATGGCACCGCGACGGGCGAG